GCACCGCGTTGGGGACCACTGCTCTAGGGGCTGGAGCAGCTCCTTGCCCACCCCAGCCATGGTGGCCTCCTCACCCCTCTGCTGCAGGTTACATGCTGGCTCCCTGGGAGGAGGACCCTGCTGTGGGCACTGCAGCATAAAGCTTATTTAAGTTTTATACCACAGAGCCCACAACACGTGTAACCAGTAGGATTTTTAGTGGTTACCTGGTTTCATTTTTAAACAACTTTTTACATCACTAGTATTAATTAAGAACCAACATTACTTCACTAGAATAAAAGAGGGTAGGTCTGGCTATATTAGCTGGCTGCAGGCTCAGAAGGCCCAGCATTTCAGTCATAGTGAGAAGCTCTTCCTAACCTGTAGGGCAGGAAGCTCCCTTTTCTTTGTGAATAAAGTTCTGCAAGGACAAACACTTCACAAGAATGAGCTACAGATCTGAGATATTGTTTAAAAATAGAAAGTTAACTTTCTAACCTTTACAGCTGTGAAGGAAACTTTCTACATAAGGCCTAAGTGAAGCTGATACAGAGGTATCTGACAGGGTCCAGATTGTCTGAAGCAATAAGGGTTTAAAGGATGAAATCTAATTATATACATTTCATTGAATACACTTATTTCACTTTTAACTTCTATCTAGCACATCTGTTTATCTCAAACTACCTCCAGATCTCTGCTGATAACTGGTGAGGTGTAGCTATTCTCAATACAAAACCTGCAACACATTAACGTTTGGTGCTGGGGTACAATTCAGTGTTATAACAGATTCTATGACACAGGAGAGTGAAGCAATAGGATTGTTCAGTTCCATATTTAATTCAATAAAAGCCCACTATTTAAAAAAAATAAATGTATCAGCAGCTGTCACAGAAGCCCCAGGGCCACAAGAACCTTACTCTAGAATGTTAATCAAGTTTACATGTTACAGATGTAGAGCAGAGACAAAGGAACATCTGTACACTACAGATGTACAGAGACAAAGGAATGGCTCTCACTGATGGTGGAGAAAGTGGTAGGTCCTGAGCATATTGCCTTTTAGAAAAAAGAAAAATCCTTCCTTACAGTCAGAGGAAGAGGAAAGCTGCAGCAGGTGTCTTTCTGCTTTCATCTTGGCTTTGATGTGTATTCTGAGGCAACTGAGGTTATTGGGGCTAGCACTAACTGGAGAGCGCCTGCAGACAACAAGGGGAGGAGATAGAAAGTCAGTCCATTCAAAAGTCACTCTCACTTATGACCTCTTCTCCCAGCTGCCAGCTCTCACAGAGATTAGTTAGACCCAATATTTACAAGATCAGAAACAACTAAAATATCACTTCTCCAGATGCAAGCTCTCTGCTACTAGGAAAAAAAATCCCAGAATAATGAGTACTTTGCTGGTAGATTAGATCTGTAGCAAACCAGAGTAATGCTGAAAAGTTTGTTATGTGCACATTGTGAGACCTGTGTCTGGCTACAACAGACAAATGCAGTATAGAATCAATACCAGACGAGGGGGGGGGGGGGGGAAGAACCTTTAAAGGGAAAGGATGTTTATTTCCATTTGAACTATGAAGCTCTCTCTGCAGTCTCCTCTTCTAAAAGGATTCAGGATATCTGTTTTGCAGTGCCTTTACCACACAAAGAGGGGAGACAGCTTTGCCTCATCCCTTCTGTGTCCCAACTGAGTCCAGGTGGAGGGGATGCAGAGAGGTGAGCCATACTGGGTAGCACATGAGACTTAGAGCTGTGATTGGTAGAGACACTGGAAGAGATTTAAAGACACCAAATGAATAATCTTACCACCCTGGATCCAATATATTTAGTACTCACTCTCAGCACTCATGAGTGAGCTGTGGCTCAGACGCAGGGGCAGGCAGACAGGCTGCTGCTACTCTTGGGTTTGGTGTAGTGGAGCCAGGGAAGAGGGGAGAAACAGATGAGAGAATTAAGAGTGTGCCACCCAATTTGCTGGCTTCTTCACCTCACAACTGCAAGCTCAGAGACCAGAAGCATCTGGCTCGGTCCTTACCAATACCTCATGGTTTCATGGTTCATGCTGAAATTCAGTGGCACTGTCTATTGTGCTATTCCCCCCACATCCTCTTTGTCTATATTTTGATAACATGCCCATTACCATAATATTAGACTCTCACTTTCTCACACTGCTGTCAAAAGGCAAAGGAATGGATCTCACCAATAGTGGAGAAAGTGGCAGAAGTCTGTTTCTAGGAACAATTATTTGGTCAGGGGCCAGCCTACACCCAAACCAGACACTAATGCTAGAGAATTTGTGATGCTGCAGAAGACAATGAGCATGTCTTGAAACTGGAGAATCTGGTGGCCTTGCATCAGCTTGACACCCCAAAAGTGCATGCCCATGATTTCCTCAGCATGCTTATTCTGGAGCAGCCCTTCTTTTTCCCTCTGCAATCACTCTCATCTCTCCCTCCACTCTTTTCCATCCATCACTCCCAGCTCTTAGATTAAAAGTTTCCCACAAAGAGACAATGGCTGCTGGCAGCTCAGGGAGAAAGAGATCCATGCATACAGAATGAAATTATTTGTCCACAGCTGGAGATTGAAGACTGGAACAAAACAGGTCAGCCCCAGAAGGCAGCCATTGGTCTTGCTCTGGAAAGGGTGGAGCTAAAGACTTTTTAGGCCTGGTCTTTTTCCAAAAAATGTTTTCTCAGGTGTTTTCCTGGGTAGTGCCAATGAGGACTTCCCCCACGGCCCCTTTCCTAGCCAAAGCTCACAGCTTCCCATGTGATTAATTAAATATCCAGATATGCTCTGGAGTGTGTCGGTGTAAAGTCCTCTAGTGCTCTCTCAGTGCATTGGTTGTTGCAGAGCCTCTTGCATTACTTGCACACGTATCTCTCCACTGTCCGCTGGCACTTCTTGCACATCACGTAGCAGCACCAATAGTACTTGCACTGGCACCTCTCCACTATGGTCTCAGTGTAAGCATTGTAGCCACGCCCGCAGCACATCAGGTTGCAGCTGTCACTGCCCACAGAGGTCTTGTTGCATTGCCTGCCCAAGTGGAAGCAGATGAGGGGATTTAGGAATGTGATAGCACAACTGTGTTCAGGTGCTAGTTCTGGCATAGGACTTGAGATGGGTAGGACTTGAGATGGGTATCAATCTAGGAAATAATTTGTTTTTCTAGAGGCTGAGCATACATGGGAACCAAAGAATCCAAAGAGGGACTGTTTCTCTCTGAGAGACACTGAGTTGGGAGGGACTGTTTCTCTCTGAGAGACACTGGAATGATGAGCAGTTAGAGGCAAGAAGGATTATGGAAGAGATGAGAATGGTCCTCCTCTCTGCTCTTGACATATTAGGGTGAGGTGGGTAAGTGCTTCTCACCCAATCCACTGACTAGCAGGTTCATATGCCCTGTAGCAGAGCTGGGCTGTGGAATGGACAGTTGGATCTACTAGGCTCTCTACTGCTTTAACAGCTGAATACTGAATGGGGGGGGAGGGGGCAGAACTACCATCCTGTACCCAGAGGAGATAAACTAGCTGTTAGGGTTTCATGGCAATCCCCATACTTGCTGGAATCTAACTAACAAATGCTTCCTCTCCACAAGCTACTCAAGGTTTAGTTATCAGCCCTAGTGGAACAGATAGAATCAAAAGATGGATGGGGCCCAATCTAGACCATATGAGGCCCCCATAAAACCATACCGTTAGTTATTCCAAAATAATGCTGGTGTGTAGACATAGCCTTACTCTTTAAGGAGCAACAGGACTCTTGTTTTTGTAGATACAGACTAACACAGCTACCCGTGTTACTTATATAGACTGTTTCTAGGTTGGACTGCAGAGGTAGAATGAAAGTTCCCATATCAGAGGGATGCTACAGCCTCTGTAGTTGGTCCTTACCTGTCCTGAGTTCCTAGAGACCCCAGTTTGGGATTCTTTGTGCAGTAATCTGGAGAACTGACTAGATAAATCAGCTCAACATCTCTCACTGGCCTGATATCCAATTCTTTGGGCACAAGCTGCTTTCTGGTCCCCATGTGCCGGTAGGTCACCTTGGTAGCTGCCAGGTATTTGGATTTGAGGTCAGTAGCTATTTCACTTAAATCTTGCAGCCCCTTCCAACAGGTCTTAACTGAGCAGGAGCCAGAAACACCATGGCATTTACACTTCGTCTCCAAAGAGTCAATCAATACCTGGAAGGAAAGAAAATCAGTAAGGAACCCAAGTTTGGGATTCATCGTTTCCTGACATATCCCAAACATCTTAGGAAGATTTCTGGAGAATGTCCACAGGAGGCTTCAGGATATGAGAAAGCATGGCCAGTCACTGGCACCCAGGAGGTCTTACCTCACTTAGTATCTATGGGGGACTCTTTCAAGTGTTGCCAAACATGAAATCCCACATTGAAGCTAACAGAATCCCAGGGTTCACTTACTATGCTTTATGGTCCCTATAATAAGAAAGTACACATGACACTTCTCCCAAGGAATGAGTTTGCAATAGGGCCTGAAGATTCCTCTCCTTAATTCAGGGGTGTGCTGTGGGCAGTTTCCCATCTTGTTCCAAGTTGCCTGGCTGTGTACAGAGAACTGTAGTCTCTGCATAGCATCTTTCCATAATATAAAGCAGCCTGGCTGTGTACAGAGGACTGTAGTCTCTGCATAGCATCTTTCCATAATATAAAGCAGGGGGGTAGCTGCTATCTTCTCCATTTTGGGGCATTAGGTGCCACCGGTAGGTTGCTGGCGAACTGTCAGCAAAACCTTTGCTTGGGATATATATGGTCACCACAGGTCCATTAGCTATCAGGAGAAGAGATATGCAGAGACATGAAAGGCATGTGAAGGGTGTTTGTGTACATAGGTCATTATAAAATTACTTTAACTCATTGATTTGCCTTGCTTGTTGTGGTCTTGCCAGTTTTTGTAGCCAGTGACCATACCCACCTGTCGGCCCACTGCATTGTTATGGAGATTCATAAGCCTGGTGGCTTGTCCCCCTGCCTTGCTGGACTTCATGGCACCATCAGCAAAGGCAGAACCCATCTGGAGGCCATAGTGGAGGTTGTCCCCACATCCACCCCACCTGAAGTCTGGCCCAGGCACTTCAGATGGGGCAGATCCACAGGAGCAGATAGGTAATTCCCCTGAGGCACAGGCGCGGGCGATGGAATGACTGACAGCAGCAGCTGCCAGTGCATACACAAATGCAGATTCCCTCGTCCCTGTGAAGAAAAAGAAAGAATCCCAAAGAGTCCTGAATCCCAGAAATGCCAGAGTGATTCCTAGGGCCACAGAGCTTTCTTCATACAGAGAAAATCACCACTACTGTTCAGATTCATTCCCACCTTTCATTCATTTGATGCTAACTGTACAGGATCTCAGCACAGTGTGGGTGACAACACAACAGCAAGTAGAATTCAGGATGTACAGGGAAGCATAAGGGAAGCATTTCCTTTTGGCTGACACTTCAAGCAACTCTGACAGGCTCTTGAATGAGCAGTGGCTAGCTCTGCGCAGCCTCCTTACATGGGTCCGTCGAGAGAGCAGTGTTGTTTACAATTAGAACCTTGATTTTCCACAGCCAGGATCTCAGAGCATGCATGTATGTGCCCACTCTCATTAGTGAAATCTCATAACTCTTCAAACAACTATGGTGCTAGTCAGCATTATTCTCCCCATGTCACAGAAAGGGAAAGTGAAATATAGGGAGTCGGTGCAACTTGCTGAAGTCACACAGCAAAACAGCAGCAGCTCCAGAAACGGAATCCAGGATGATTTACTCAGCAATTTACTTTAACCAGTCAAGTACATCTCTGAAAGATGCATTATTTTTATTATATTAGCATCCTGTTCCAAGAGGGCCAGAGTATTATCACATTAAGGAGACAGGGCCCTGTTAGTTTCTTCCAAAAGGCCTCTAATACTGGTTTGGAGTGGAAAGTAAAACTACTTCCATCCCCACACCCCCAACCAGTAATTTCTTTCACAGGAGCAAGAATGCAAAATTCCTGCTCTGTAGTAATTCCTTTCACAGGAGCAAGAATGCAAAATTCCTGCTCTGACTCAATAGCAACTAGACAAAAACAGGTGTAAGAAAATGTACTTCCCTTGTACCCCTTCTTGTCTGCATCCCATTCTGATTCTACTCTTTTGGCCATATTTTTCACCCTCTTTTGTTCTGTTCTTCACTTTCCCCTGGGATTAACTCTCCCTTTGTTTTGGGGGGTCTCTAGCAATTGTGCTTTTTTTTTTGACACCAAAGTTAATGTCCATCACCCAGACTATGAGCTAGGACACCGAAGTTAATGTCCATCACCCAGACTATGAGCTAGCTAGGAGACTGCATCTTGCAGTCTCTTTGCATGTTCCAGGTCGGATTTTGATCTCAGTTATAATGGGATGAATTCTGTATATCTCTAGTGACTTAAATTCAGTTACTCTAGAGTATCTGACATCAGAATATGACCCATTGACTACAGTCGGAATTTTGCATGTGAAAGGACTGCAGGAGAATGAAAAACTACAGTGTTTAGACAAGCAGGGTACAGAAATGCCAGATGATATAGCACAATTACCTTTAATGAGGTCTGGGGTGAAACTGGGTGCATATTCAATGGAAGAGCAGTTCCACCTCATATCGGAGAATGTTTTTTGGCACACTCCCTTGGTCTCTTTGGCTGCATATACGATACTGTGCATGAGCTCCAGGTTTCTTCTGCACAGTTGCAACTGGTCTGGGACTAGCCCATCCAAAATCTTGCAGTGCTGGGTCTGGTTCCATGCTACCCTGCTGCCATTCACCATTAGCCCTCTGTCAGGAGAGGAATTACCATAACTGAGTGAGATGGGGTAGAGAACCCAGCCCAGACTACAGCCTGCTGTTGTCCAGAGATGTCACTGGGGGCCAAAAGGAGCAATGGGGTACAGATAAACCATGGGCTGAGTACTGGTAACTGGATACCAGGCTTTTAACCTCTAAATCAGAAATCTGGTTATCTTCCATATCAGTGACAGCTGTTCAGTAACCTCCACCTGAAAAGAGGTGGTGGGTCTCAGAGCTGTTCCTGGTAGGCAGGTATCAATATTGATAGAGCAAACATAGCTAGTACTACTTGTATCCCTTGGTTGACATCCTCAGCAGATGCATGTGGGCCTTTACTGCCTGTGAACTCAGTGGACTTAAGCAGTTATAAAGACCAACTAACACCTGTATCCTGAGGGGCAAATGGCAGTTTGAATTTTGAGGTGCCACTTATAATTAGGAAGACTGAAAATTCTTCCATTCTAGCCCCAAAGCCAGCAGTGGCTACTCGGCCAGAAGGGGGAAGGGCTTGGAAGGGATAGCTGTTAGGCTTTAAAGTCCAGCAGGGAAACAACGGCAAACAGCCTGGGCTGGAGCTGAGCATGGCCAGAAAGCATCCCTAGTCCAAGTGGAAAGGCAGGGGAGGTGGGCTGCCTAGGTAGCAGAGGACAGAGGAAGGGAGCTAGTTCCCCTGGAGCGCGGCCGGAGCCTACCCTGTCCCCAGGGGATTTAGCGCCGGCAGCTGTTAGGGAACAAGCTGAGCTGGGGAGCCCCGGGCTGGGCATCTCTCAGCTGCCGGGGGCAGGTGCGTTGCCGGGGGCTGCAGCCCCACGAGCTACTCACAGCCACTGGATCGCCGCGGAGAGACGCAGCTGCCAGAGCAGCACCAGGCTGAGCCGAAGCGGGGCTGGGAAGCAGGAGCCCATCGCGGCAGCGGGCGAGTCCGGGGCTAGCCAGTAACCCCCGGCTCTTAAAGCGGCCGGGCGCGGCCCCCCGGGGGCACGGACAATGGGAGTTTCGGGTGCCATTCACACGGCGGCTCCGCTCCCGGCCGGACACGCGGGGCCGTTCGCAGCTTCGTGTCAAAGCCGCGCACCCCGCCCTCCCCCGAAAGGTCCCTGAGCCCCGCCCCGGCCAGGTGCGCCCGGTCGCTACCGCAGTCAGAAGGGGCCGGGCACTGGCTGGGGCGCGAGGACACGACCCTTTGCTGGCGGATGCGGGGCTTGGGAAGGAACATAGGGGGGGGGGGGGCTGTGCCCAGGGCCAGGCGGCCCCGGGGACCCGCCGCAGTGCTCGGGGCTGATCGCTCCGCGGGGAAAGTCCTTGTGGGCGGCCAGGCCCCATTTGCATCCACACCCGCCTCCGCATTTACATAGCGCCAGACAAACAGGCCCGCCGTCCTCGCAGGTGTCGAGCCGAGTCAGTCGCCCCGCCCCGCCCCTCGGGGAGCAGCGAGGCCCCGGCTGCCCCTTTGAAGAGGCTCTTTGAAATGGGCTGCTGAGCTTTATCTGCATGTCAATTGCTGGGAGCCAAGGCAATCAAGGGCGCTGCCCCTTTGGCAAGGGCGTCCTCCCCTCCCCGAAACCAACGGCAACTCCCCTGGCCCCACTCTCAGCACCCCCGCTCCGCACTCACCTTACATCGCGGCTGCAAAGTAAGCCGGAGATGCGAAGAGCCGGAGCCTGGCGGCCCTTCCTGCTCACTGCATTGACAGGAGAGCCAGGCCGGGAGCCCGCCGCCAGCTGCTGCTTGGCACTTCTAGTGCATTGGCAAACCGGGCACAGACATGGTGGGTTAAGAGCAGCCTGGAAGAGGGAGACAATAAGTAATAAAGTGTCTCCCCGGGGCAGACGGGAAAAGGGGGAGAGGAGCCAGGTTAAACGGATGCTGCCTGTTTACATTGTATTCACATTCGGGGTGATGTACTTTACCAAGGGTGGTTCTACATTACCCCTCCTAGAGGGGAGAGATGAGAGGGGAGAGGCCGAATGCTTGAGTTAATTGCCTTGTGCTTTTGACAGCACTTTGTGAATCTTCACTTTTCCACCTTCCCCTGTGCAGTCAATTAGGACCAGAGCGTTAGAGGTCCTTGAAATCATCTGAATCGATTTCAGTCGTTGAAATGAATGGGAGTTGGAATCTGGACCTCACTTTTCTAGTTTGTGTGGGGCTTTGTTGAGAAAAAGGGTTCACAAAAATAGGAAAGGATTGCTGTAAAACTCCTGAGAGTTGGGGGTGGAGTGGGTCAATCGAGTTACTATTTCTTTTTGCACTGGTAGGAACTCTCTCTCTCCTCATCTTGAAGTTACTATTTACAGTATAAACAAGATACAAGCAGTGAGAATAAAACAGGACAAGGGAAGGAAAAGTGAGGGTGACAAACAATAACAAGAGCATAAAGTTACTGTGCACACAGCTTGATGGTTCTGAATAATTTAAATGTATTTGCTCATCAATAAAGAATATCCCTTCTCATCCCTAATGTAGCCATGATTAATAGGTGCATTTCCTGAGGTTGAGCATTGAGGAATTTGAAGGAGGAGAACCAGGACGTGTCTTTACAAATTAGCTCAGGGAGGTTTGTAATTTTTTTTTAACTGATTGAATTTCAAGTGGATGGGTGGAAGATTTGGCAATGTCACCCCAGCTCTGTGTTCTGTTACATTTGTTAATAATCCAGTGGCATCAAAATTGTGGCTCTGGAATAAGTTTATAAATCATGGAAATAGTATTACATCTTGGTTACCAGTTAATATGAATATCAGAGCCACTGGCAATATGGCACCAAGTCAAGAATTGCCCTTTTTGGTCTTTTGCTCTGTAGGATAAAATGATCCTGCAACTCACACAAGTACTTTACTTTGTATTTTCAGTCTTTCTGCCTTCTTCTTATTGGCCCCAGCTCCTCTTATTCATGCCTTGTCACACATGTCTATTATGGGACTTTTCAGGTATTGTAAGAGAGCTCAGTGATGCATTGCACTGTATTGCCACTCTATTGAATTCATACACTCATACCCTGGTGTCAGAAAGTCTTTAAATGGAATTAGAAAGAGTAGGCATTCAAGTCCCATTGGATTGTCTGGAAAGTGTTTTATGTTCTTCCTAAAAGGAGATTTCTGGATTAAGCAATGAGCTCTTTACACAGCATTTGATTGCAGCCATGCATACAGTGGTTACAGCATAGAAGCTGGGAGAGCTTTGTCTCTGGGGCTATGGTCTGGCCTGCATATGGGACAATGAGAGATGGAAAATTTCCCTTTCAACATCTTTTCATCATGGACAAAAGTACAAGGGAGGGGACAGTGAGAAACAAAACAAACTCCTTGGCATTTTTTTTGTATATTAAATAGGAGGAATTAGCTCACAGGTACAAGCTGTTGGAACTTATCAGAGCCCCATGTCATACCTTGAATGGATCATTATTCTGGGGGCAGATCTTGGGGCCCAACTTCTGTTCCCTTTTCTTTTTAAAGCTATTTTTTGTTTGTTTGAAGGCTGTTTTACAAATACACTGTGTTCATACGTTTCCCTCCCTTGGATTCAGTGAGACCTGGACAGCCCTTTTCCCCTGCTGTCATACAGCCTCTCAGGAAACTCAGTGGCAATATCCACCACCAGATTAAACACAGGACTATCCAAATATATGAGTCAATCAAAAGCATAGAGACCATCTCACAAAGCCTCACCAGCATGGAGAATCCAGTTCTATGTGACAGAGACATATGGGGCCAAATTACCACCAAAAGCACCAGCTCTGTCCCATGTTACAATAAAAAGCAAGCTAAATTCCTTCCTTAAAGGGTTGGGAAAAATGAGAGAAGCCCAAAAGATCCCCTTTTTGGGGTTTAGGGCTAGGAGTTTGGGCTCCCCAGTGAGTCCCTTCCTGACACTCAGCATAGGGATTCCTCAGAAGCTGACTGAATGTGGGAAAGTCCTGCTAAGGGCCATTGACTTCTCAGTGTTATCTTCTTCCCCTTTCTCCTCCCAGAGACAAACCCTTTGCTCTACATGTTTGACTTGCTTCAGGTATTAGGAGCTGCTAATAGGTTTCATAGCTGAATAGCTGTATGAGAAACAATCTGCAGGAGTTTAGTGTGATTAGGAAAGCTACTTGGGGACACCTACCAGAGGATGTGTCAGACCGGCTTAGGGAGAGCACTCAGCATGCAGCCAACAAAAACATTTCCCATCTAATCTCATTAAAGCACCTTCCCAGAAGCCATGTGAAGGAAAGGGGCTGCAAAGCAGCTTACACCATAGTTATTAAATCCATTACACTGGCACACAATATATGCCCAAGCATGGAGAACAGACACAACTATACCCAATGTACAGTCCTAAAACTGATAGAACTTCCTACATGCCCAGCACCAAAACATCTGCCCACATCATGACCTAAATCAGCATGATGCTGCATTTAGTTTCAGTACAAAAACCCCCTTTCCTTTTGCACTGGTCCATGCAAGCCATAACAAGAGTCAGCAGTTATCCAGGCTGGCAAATGCTTGCCCAGAGTAATGTGCCTTGCCCTGCACAATAACAGTCAGGCTCTGATGGACACTCTACATGAATACCTCTGCCTTCTGTACCCCAGAGTGCACACTGGGAAAGTGGCAGCTGAAGCACCTCAACTGATGCATGGGGATCAGGACAGGTCCCAAACCACAACGAGCTTGTTGAATCAGAAGAAGCACCTTGAATTGCACTACTACCACGAGTGAGACCCTGTTGAGCGATGTACACAACTGAGTAAAAGCATTCATATAAAACTCCAGGAATTTAGCAAGACAAAAGGAGACAAAGAGGGAAAGAAGAGCCAGGGAAGAACAAAAATGAAGGTGTGTCTACACTACAGAGTTAACATGGGCTCCTGTCCACCGTAAACCATTAGATGTCCCAGTGCAAAATAGGGATGAGGGAAAGGATTCCCACTGGAACAGACGGGCAGTGATGGAGCCTTGTGAAGTCAAATATTAATTTCTTTTGGAAATATTCTCAGTTATAAGACCTCTGCCTTACACTTTTCCAGTCTTTTCCTTTTCAAAAGGAAAGGGTTTTTTTGTACTGAAACTAAATGCAGCATCATGCTGAATTAGGTCATGATGTGGGCAGATGTTTTGGTGCTGGGCATGTAGGAAGTTCTATCAGTTCTAAATGGAAGTTCTAAATGGAAGGACTCTTCCCTTTGCTGGTCATAACGAGGTGGGTAGTTAATATCATCCCTGATCTCCTTTTGACTTGCCATCATGTGAAATAAAATGATGATAGAGCTTGACTTGCTGACCTTCCTCAGTTACTTCCATGGGATGAAAAGGCATTTAGCGCTTTGTGTCTGAGCAGTGGTCCACGAAGAAGGTACATACTGAGGTAAGGATGAGGTCACTCCCAAATCCCAAAAGGAGATAAAAGGGGCTCAAATTAAAAGAAAGAGAGAAAAATGTGACACTGTATTATTGTTAGAATCAGCTGATTTCCATCTCATAGCCTTTCTGCTTCTGTGCTCTCCCCTGAATCACAACCTTTTCAGCAAACCATGGTGAATGGGAATGACTTTTAAGTAGAGAAGTGAGAGAAGAAAGCCAGTAGGGCAGTGTGAGAGTCAAAGGAAAGAAAGCCGCTTCACAAGGTTTTGTTCTTAACTATTTTGAGTAGTTAATATCATCTGAAAATTTTGCCACCTCAGCCCTTGTCTATATGAGGGATTTATTTTGAAATAACCCCCCTCATTTCAAAATAATAAGCAGAGAATCCACACTACCAAGTCCATTATTTCAAAATAATGGGCTGGTTATTTCAAAATCTGTACTTCTGCTTTCCGTGGGGAATAAACTTATTTTGACATAATTATTTAGGGAGTTATTACTTCAAATTTAGTTATTTCAAAACAATTTCCTAGTGTAGACATGTCCTCACAGTTTACCCCTTTCTCCAGTGCATTTATTAAATAGGTTAAATAGGATTAGTCCCAGTATGGACCCTTGGGGGACACTACGGCTACGTCTACACTGGCATGATTTTCCAGAAATGCTTTTAACTGAAAAGTTTTCCGTTAAAAGCATTTTCGGAAAAGAGCGTCTAGATTGGCAGGACGCTTTTCCCAAAAAGCGCTTTTGCACATTTATTAAATAGATTAAATAGGATTAGTCCCAGTATGGACCGCATTTATTAAATAGGTTAAATAGGATTAGTCCCAGTATGGACCCTTGGGGGACACTACGGCTACGTCTACACTGGCATGATTTTCCAGAAATGCTTTTAACTGAAAAGTTTTCCGTTAAAAGCATTTTCGGAAAAGAGCGTCTAGATTGGCAGGACGCTTTTCCCAAATAGGAGCAGCATAGTATTTCCGCAAAAGCACTGACAATCTTACATGAGATCGTCAGTGCTTTTGCGGAAATTCAGGCGGCCAGTGTAGACAGCTGGCAAGTTTTTCCGCAAAAGCAGATGATTTTGCGGAAAAGCTTGCCAGTCTAGACACAGCCTACTAGTTATCTCTCTCCATTCTAAAACTGACCATTTATTCCTACCCTTTCTTTCCTGTCTGTTAACCAGTTATCAATCCATGAGAGGACCTTCTCTCTTATCCCATGACAACTAACTTTACTTAGGAGCTTTTAGTAAGAGACCTTGTCAAAAGCTTTCTGGAAAACTAAGTACACAATATCCACTGGATCCCCCTTGTCCACATGCTTGTTGACCCTCTCAAAGCACTCTAGTAGATTAGTAAGGCTTGATTTCTCTTTACAGAATCCATGTAGACTTTCCCCCACAAATTATGTTCATCTACGTGTCTGACAGTTCT